CCATGGGTGAAGAGAAGGATCTTTCCTCTTCAGCCTGTATAATGCTGCTCAGGCACCGTGCCCTCCAAACACCACCCACAAAAAGGAATTCCCCAAAATAGAAGAAGTTGTTGGGCAGCCAAAGAAATGACCAGTGTCCCCAACCATCCGCTGTTTGAGATGCCCAACATCCGTGCATTACTTCCTATAAACGTAAGATAATATAAGCCTCCCTAGTATAATGCATCTACTCCTCTTTCTGTCAAAAATATATTCACTCTTCTTCCAAAGGGAGACAACTCAAAATCTTGTTCATGATCACACCCACTTGCAAGGCCAGGATTCTCGGATGTTCATTCCTCCCTCCTGCAGTTTTTTTTTTTTTACCAACCCATCTCAATGTTTTGCAAACTATGAACTATGCTGTAAAGTTAATTACCACCAATACACCCTATATGCAAGAGTGGAAAGAAGGAGAGAAGAATGGGAGAATTAAAATATGTAAGAATATACTTGACACAGCAAGAAGAGAAATATATGTAAAAGCGACAGACTTTTTCTACAAAATGTAGCTGGTATGAATAACTTCCACTCCTTCACTATCCAGTTCGTATTCCCCTTGCCTTCAAAGATTTTCTTTTACTTTTTTTTTTAAGGGTTTTATTTTTTTAATGTAATCTCTACCCCCAGCGTGGGGATTGAACCCATGACCCCAGGATAAAGAGTCGCACACTGTACTGACTGGGCCAGCCAGGGGCCCCTTCCCTTTGCCTTCAGCCTGCATCTTGGTGGTTCAGGGTTCTTTACCAGGTCCAGATCATCCCAGACCTCCATTTTTAAAGAATCTGAGTCTTTAGTGGATCTCCCTGTATAGAATTGACTTTTTCCCCAAAGGTTTTATTTTGAAACGTTTTAATCCTACCGAAATACTGAAAGACAAGTACAAGGTACATCTATATACCTTCATCCAGATTTGCCCATTTTTACCATTTTGCCTCATTTGCTTTATCTCTTTGCCCATAAAAATTATTATCCTGACCTCTTGAAAATAAGTTGCAGACATTGTAACACTTCATCCCAAATACTCCAGCATGAAGTCTTTATTTAGCTCAATTCAGTCTTATTTGGCTTCTTCAATCTATGGATTCACATCTTTCAGGGGCGCCTGGGTGGCTCAGTTGGTTAAGCATCTGACTTTTGGTCTCAGCTCGGGTCTTGATCTCAAGGGTCGTGAGTTCAAGCTCTGCGCTGGGCTCCACACTGGGCATGGAGCTGATTTCATAAAAACATCTTTTTTTAAATGTATGTTAGATCTCTCTATATAACTATGTTTCTGCTCTACTTCTGTATTTTCTGTTCTTTTGTCTTTCTATGCAGTATTAAGGACAATTTCTGCCTATCCAGCTTCTAGTTTCTATGTTCTCTCTTCAGCTATGGGTAATCTGCTTAAAGGATTCATTGTGTTCTTAATTTTGATTATCGTATTGTTCAGTTTGAGAAGTTCTGTGTTGTTCTTTTAAAATTCTGTTGTGGCATTTCTTAATAAGTACTTGCCCCCTGCAGGGATTTTTTTTTTTCATTTCCTCTGTTTTTTTAGTTTGTTCAGTTGGTAAGGTTGGAATTAAATACCTAACTAGGAGCTTGTCTCCCATTAACTACCCGAAATTAATATTAGGGAGATCCCCTGGGTTTCATTTCTATTTCTCCCTGCCCCTACTGGGTACTAACAATCCTATTTTACAACAATAACCTTGACAATTACAATCACCCCAGGGTACCTGGGTGACTCAGTCAGTTAAGCGTCTGCCTTCAGCTCAGGTTATGATCTCAGGGACCTGGGCTCTAGTCCCACATCAGGCTCCTTGCTCAGGGGGAGTCAGCTTCTCCCTCTGTCCCTCCCCTGGCTTGTGCTCGCTCTCAAATAAATAAATAAAATCTTAAGGAAAAAAAAAATCAATCACCCCAGCCAGTAGTAAGTAGTACTCCCTTTTTACTTTTTCGCCAGGTGGCAAGTGGAGCAAAAAAATGGCCCGTTGGTAATCTTAGCTCCAAATTTAGAGAAATCGTTATTGTGCCCCCTGGTGGAAGCATTCCTCCCTTGGATCAGGCTGACCCCAGAGCAATAGGAAACGTTTTGCAAGAGTCATTCGTTGAGATTGCGAAAGGCTGCACCCCTCTTCCACTCCTTGGTTCCTTCCGGTAAGAGAAACACTATATACTGGTCACTGGTTCCGAGTATCCGTTGTTCAGTGATGCGGCATTTCTTAAAAGAATCCTAAAAGAACTGAAAGGCATTGGTTCTGGGCCCATAAGCTACCTTTCCAATTATAGAACTAGCCTGTGTATTATTTCGAATAGTTTTTATTTTAAATTTCTTATTGAAATATATATACGCAGCGAAGTGCCCAAATTTTGTGTAGTTCAATAAATTTTTCGAAAGTGAACAAACCTATGTACCCACTACCCAGATGAAGGAAAAGAACATTACTAGCACCTCAGTAGCCACCTCATGCCCCCTCTTGCCACTATTCTCCAAAGATAACTACTCTCCAGAGTTTTAGCCCCAGAAATTAGTGTGTCTGTTGGTGTAACTTTATATAAATGGAATCATACAATATGTCGTCTTTTGAAACTGGCTTCTTGTATTCGGTATTACGTTTTTGAGATTCATTCATATTGCTGTAGAACAATAATTTGTTCTTTCCACTTTGTTTAATCCATTCTACTGCTATGGGCATTGGGGTTTTTTCCAGTTTGGAACTATTACAATGAATGCTGTGGTGTACATCCTTGCACATGCTTTTGGGTGTATATACCCACAAGTGGAGTTGCTGGATCACAGGAACTCTGTATGTTCAGCTTTAGTGCTAGCATACTGTCTTAGTCAGCTTGGGCTGCTATAACAAAATATCACAGACTGGGTGGCTTAAACAACAGACATTTATTTCTCGCCATTCTGGAGGCTGGGATGTCCAGGATCAAGGTGCTAGCAGATTTGGTGGCTGGTAAGAGCCCACTTCCCAGCTTGTAGACATCTGCCTTCTTGCTGTGACATCACCTGGCCTTTCCTCAGGGAGAGAGATATCTGTCTTCTTCTTACAAGGGCACTAATCCCATCATGAGGGCCCCACCCTCATATGAGCCATCATCGAAACCTAATCACTTCCCAAATACCTCACCTCCAAATACCATCATATTGGGGGTTAGTGGTTCAACATATGAAGCGGGGGGGGGGGGGGGAAGCACAAACATTCAGGCCACAACACATATTGTACTTTTATTTTTATTTTCTATTTATTTGACAGAGAGAGCACGCACGTGCACAAGCAGGGGGAGTGGCAGGCAGAGGGAAGGGGAGAAGCAGGCTCCCCGCGGAGCAGGGAGTCCGATGTGGGGCTTGATCCTAGGACCCTGAGATCATGACCTAAGCCAAAGGCAGATATTTACCAACTGAGCCACCCAGGCGCCCACATATTGTACTTTTTTTGACTCCTGCTTTGGAGTCACCTCTGATACTCTTTGTCCCCACAATCATTTGGTTCCTAGGGGTAAAACAGTGCACCAGTATTGTTTCTGGGTTTTTCTTCCAAGCTGCTGGTACCTATTCTGCAAGTTTAGTGCAGGGTAGGCAGTGACAAATAGCCCACAACTCCCATCTGCCACAGTGATGGCAAAAGATGTCCCCTGGTTCTGAAATATTAAAAGAGGGGAGGGGGGCAGGGAATATGTGCATCTTGGACTTGATGGAATAAGGTATATGGCAAAGACCAAAGACCACACCCTGAGGACTGTGGCATTTAAAAGTGGAACAAAGGACAGAATCAGCAAAAGAGGCTGAAGGAACTGCCAGTGTGTTCAGAGCACAGCCAGGAAAATGCTCATCTCAGAGACCCTGAAAAGAGCTTGAAAAAGGAGGGAATGTGGGGCACCTGGGTGGTTGGGTGGGTTGAACATTGGACTCTTGATTTTGGCTCACATCATGATCTCAGGGTCATGGGATCCAACCCCCTCCAACCCCCTCATTGGGCTCCACGCTCAGCTTGTCCCTCTCCCTCTGCTTCTCCCTCCTCCCCTGCGCATGCTCTCTCTCTCTCTCAAATAAATAAATTAAATCTTAAAAAAAAAAAAAGAAAAAGGAGGGAATGGTCAGAGTGTCATGGTGTCTTGGTTAGGACCGGTTTCAATGAACCAGTGGGAACAAAATTGCCATTAAACTGGGCAGAAAGGCCTGAAGGAAGGGCTCTTATTTTTTAAGAGGATATTAAGCCATGTTTGTACATGAATTTGCATGATTCAACAGTGGGGGAGAAATGAGTGGTACAAAAGATTCACGGATAGTTGCAGGAGGGAAGTTCTTCAGAGCCTAAGTGGAGGGACAAAAGTAGGAAGCAAGGGAGGTGGATATCACTGAGGTTGGTGGCTGGGTTTGGTGGCAGGAAGGGGTGGTAACTTTTGCCAAGGCTCCAATATTCAGGCCAAAGAACTGCCCAGTTCAGGACGTTAATCTTCCTCTCCTTGAATGGGCACACCATTGAGGCCCCAGGTGGATCGTGCATCACTCCTGTCTTCTGCTACCCACCAACAGCTCCCTCCCCGCGCCCATGAGTGACGGCAAAGGGTTAAACCACAAGGTTAAAGGTCGGTGAGGTAGCAGATCCTATATGCTCCATCTAGCCCATCTCTGGGTGTCCAGTTTTCAACATCTTCATTTCATCAATCCTCTCATTTCTGCACCAGGCCAGCTCCTCCCTCTCTGGCCCCGCCCTCCCCATGGAAGACACCGGGCTCCCGCAAGAGCCTCGGGGCGCGCGCCCGTTTCCGTCGCGCCTGCGCAACGGCCCCCCTTGGCTCCCTGGCCCGGGGGGCAGTCACGAAGCCTGTTCTCCGTGCCTCGCTCTCGGGCGCGCGCCTTCGGGCAGCGCCTGCGCAGAGGAACGAGGAAACCGGTTCCCCGGTGGGGTCCCGGCGCCTGCGCGCTGAGGGCTCCGGGCCTCCCGGCCTGAGGGAGAGGAGCAGGGAAGATGGCGGCTGTGGTAGAAAATGTAGTGAAGCTGTGAGTAGTCGTTTCTTTCTCTCCTAGGCCGGGAGGTCTTGTAATGGGCCTGGGAGTAGGGGACGGTGCGGGACGGGACGAGGCGGAGGGAAGGACGGACCTGAGAAGGCCTTGTTGCGACTCCTAGTAGGGAGGGCAACAGGAGACTCCAAGAAGACGTTGCGCTTCTTTGGAAACTTGTGGAGGCCCTGAGGGGGGCACACGGGAGCCCCTTGCGGGCAGCCTCCCTGCGGGGCTGTGCGGTCAGAGCGGTCCTTCGGGCTTACGGCGGCCTGAGTATGGCGCCCTCGTTGCGTATGAGAAACAGTCTGGGTGCGCTCCCAAGACCAGACGCCTCGGTCCGGAGGGGCCGGGCGGAGGGCGGACCCGGCACCGACCCGCGTCCCCGCGAAGCCCGACGCCGACCCCTCCCAAACCGCTGCCCGCGGCCGGTCCTGGAGCAACAGGCTCAGCAGCCCTTGTGCGGTTAAGCACCGCGGGTCTGTTTTGTTTTAACAGCCCCTCGACGTCGGGGTGGGGGGTGGGGGTCCTGAGTATCTGTTTCCCAGGACCAAAAACATTATTGGGAGGAATTTGTTGAGCAGATACAGAAGGGAAAGAACTTCAGGGGAGAGGGCCTTTGCACCGGTCAGTCGAGCCACCAAAAAACGGGAACTGGACGGAAGCGGTCCAGGACGCCTCTGCAGCCTAGAGGGGCATCTAGGTCGGCATGCTGCGCGCTGTGCAGTCCCCTTGTGCTGGTCAGGTTTCGAGCAAAGTTAAAGTTAATGGTGGTTGGGAAAAATGGAGAGTGGTCTGTTGGCCGTGAGTTAAAGATGCTTCGGGACTTGATTCAGCCTAGCCTCCTCCCTGAAGAAGACTGAAGTGGGTTCAGGCCTGGTGGGCGAATAGAGCACGCTCTTTTTAGTGGGTAAATTGGGCTGTGGTGCAGAGGTAGGAAAATCGAGAGGTGACCAGTTGTCCAGGCAGGGCTTTTGGATTTTGACTGGATGACAAGATAAAGGTTTGGGAACTATTCTGAGGGACTTAGAGCTTCTCATCTCCCTTTGTGGTGGGCTGAGCCCCCACTCTTCCCAAGAGCCTTTTTAAAGAGTACATTGCTTTGCCCACAGCCCCCCCCTCCCCGCCTGGAGCCCTTTCTTTTGAGAATGCCTTCCCACTTCCATTAAGCTAAGTGCCTTCTTCTCCTCTTGTGGTTTGTGTGTTGTTTTTTTTTTTTAAACTTGCTTTCAGCTCCATCCTGCTGCCTCTTTCAGCTACCCCTCCTCCCAACACTATTATCTTTCTCTCTGATCTGCCCACTCCAGTTTCCCCCAGCTCTCTCTTCAGGCTGACATTTCCCTCAATTTAGAAATGTCGCTGTTGATCTACCATTTATATAGTTATCCTTCCTGACTCAGATGTTCTTTCTTTGTTTCCCTGCCTTTCTCTTTGTTGACTAGCCCCCCCACACCCCAATCCCATTGTAAAGGGAGGTTTTACACAGGTTTCATGCTTCCCGGAAAAGAATCAGAGCTCCTACCTTGGAAATCTTACTGTACTGGGGGAATGTCAGACTTCCCTAGGTTGAGAGTTAACAGGTGATGAGACTTTATGTTGGAAGACTTTCTTCGGGGAAATAGAGTTGCCAAACCTTTCATGTAGTGCTAGAAAAGAGGAGTTGCCCCTTTCAACAGAGCACGACTTATTTCTCTTAAAGGAACTACAGAGATTGTGAGGGTCACCAGTCACTGGTTCCTGAGTACTAGTAGTGAGAAACCAACTTTCTCCTCAGTTCTAGCTGCAGAGGGCTGTGGACCACAATTAATACATTTCCCTACAGAACTTGCCCTTTAAGAAGGGGCTTCCATTCTTCCTGTAACGTTCTCACCCAGGAGAGAGATACTTTTCTGGAGCTTCTCTTGATCGTGGTGTGCCTGCTTTTTGAACAGCTGAGGTAATACATTGAGGTCAGGACTACTAGCTCATCTTTTCTGACTTGCATCTTGTTCTGGGAGAAGAATTTTCCTATTTATAAATTCTCTCTCATTCTCTCTTAGTCTCTCATTAGATCCTCTCTCCCGCTAACCTATGTGTTTCATTCCCAGTTCTCCTACGAGACAGTTTGCATCACCTTCTGAAATCCCACTTAACTCCCAAGTGCTGTGATAGAACGTCTCTCATTGTTCTCCCCAAAACCAATTCTAGTCTCCGTGCTCTGACTTTGCAGCCCTCAGCCCATCTCCCCCTTCCTTCCATTTGACTTACAGTGTCAGTATCCATTCCCATCAGCAGAAACAAAGGAGCTGCTGCACTCGGGCTTGTTTATCCAATTTTCCTCTGTGTGGTGAGGACATGGCTGCCTCCTAAAGGCCAGCTAATGTGAGCCTGTTCCCCTTTTTTCACTCTCCAACACAAGATTCATGCTTACCTCAAATTACAGTCATTACCACTCCTTGAATCAAGCTAGGCCATCTTGTGTTGTCATCGCCTTGTGTGTGGTGTGTCTTTTTCAGTTGCTTGGGAACATACTAAGCTATGCCTAAGTGGTCTATTGTGACTGCTCTGTGAAAGCCTCCCTCGATTCCAGAGCGTGGTTTGTCAGTGTAGCTTGAGTTACGGACATAAGCAACAGAGACTCACTGTCCAGCTTCTCATGCTAGGGGTCGTTAGAGCTTATCTAGTCCGGCTTCCTCAGTCTAGCAGAGGAACCTGAGCTCCACATGGGCTGACTAAATGTCCACATTCGTGTGGTGACTTGCAGCCGTGCAAGGTCTTTTTACTCCCAAGTCAAGTCAGGATGTCCCAGACACCTTCATGGGTACTGGGGATACTGTGGGAAAGAAACCACCTCTGCCCTCAGTTTATTTAAGATTGACTGAATATGTAAATATGAATCACTTATAGTTCCAGTACTAATGTGCTTGTTCAACCCTGAGGATGAGAACAAGGTTGGTTCTATATACATGCTGCTTAGAACCAGGTAACTCCTGGCACTGCGTAGTTTTCCAGCTTTTTAAAGCACTTAAAGGTTTACTCTTGATTTAGATTTCAAACCGAGTCTTTTGAGTGAAAGAGGGTTCTTTCCTATATAATTTGATGGTGCGAGAATGGAAAAGGGCCTCGGATGGGCCTGTGAGCAAGCAGGTTTTATATCAGTCTAATGGCACTCAGGAAAAAAGTAGGCTTCAAGGAAGTTCAGGTATTTTCAGATGGTTTCCATTGACTTTAAAATTAGCATATAGAATTAATTAGTTGGCTAAATACAGGTCTCCCCCCACTATCCAAAAGTAGAGTGTTCTTATGAAACTGTTCATAAGCCGACATGGCATAAAGCAAAGAAGCAATTGCCACTTCTTAAAAGCAAAAATCCTCTCTGGATCTCTTTTGGTTAGTGAAAACAGGTGCTAACGTCGGTCTTTTATAAAAGCGAAGTGGCAGAAAGTACACCATCAGATAGTGGGAGAAACCTGTACCTAGTGCAAAATTCAAAAGATATAAAATGGCATATGGGAGAAATTCCCTCCCAGTCACCCAGTTTTTCTCTCTGGAGGCCGGGAGTTTCTTTTCCACTTCTTGTTACATAAATGGTAGCATCCTGTAACACTCATCTTGGAGATTGTTTGATATCAGCACATGAAGAGCTTCCTTCTTTTTTTATGGCTTAATAGAAATTCATTGTATAGACGTGCCGTAGTTTGTTAAATATATTTTAGTAAGGGCCCCAGACCTTGTTGAACTCTTCCTCATTTGTGAAAAAAAGCTAACGTGTGCTTCTCAGAGTCATGAGGGTTAAGAGAAACAGCATCTTGACTAGCACAGGGCTGGACTCAAGAGAGGCACAGAATGAACATTAGTTTCTCCCTGTCTTTGTGGTAGGTTAGGCTTAAGTCTGAGTAGGCACATGAGAGATCATGTGTTCCTGATGGTAATTTATTTATAAAGTGCCTTTCCTCATAATGGCTTAGTGAAGGGGTGTGGTGTCCCATGAGGCAGAAATGGAGGCAAGTAGGGCCGAAGCCACAGTCTCCCGGTCCCTTGAGCCTTCTAAAGAAGCAGATGGCAAGGAGAGGGGTAGCTCCGCCCTACACTAACACACACACACCTGATCTTTGTCTCTCCTGCAGCCTTGGGGAGCAATACTACAAAGATGCCATGGAGCAGTGCCACAATTATAATGCCCGCCTCTGTGCTGAGCGCAGTGTGCGCCTTCCTTTCTTGGACTCACAGACTGGAGTAGCCCAGAGCAACTGTTATATCTGGATGGAAAAGCGACACCGGGGTCCAGGTGAGGGTTCAGACTCAGGAGCACAGGGAAGGAAGAAGCTTCCTCATCTTTTTTTTTTTTTTTTTTTTTTGATAGAGACACAGCGAGAGAGGGAACACAAGCAGGGGGAGTGGGAGAGGGAGAAGCAGGCTTCCCGCCGAGCAGGGAGCCCGACATGGGGCTCCATCCCAGGACCTCGGGATCATGACCCGAGCCAAAGGCAGACGCTTAATGACTGAGCCACCCAGGCGCCCCTGAAGCTTCCTCATCTTAAGTGATGAGCCAGCTGAGAGTTTTCCTTACTGCTTTCCACACACATGGATGAATATAGTCTTGCCTTGATTAGAAGCCCAAGGAGGATGAAGCAGACAGGTTCATACCAGCATTTTTGTTTTCTGCAGGACTGCCCTGCTGAGGCTGTTGTTGGGCTTTTGGGGAGCTATGTGTTAGCCAAGGCTCCAAGCTTACATATGTTTTTCTTTTCCATAAACTGTCCCTCCTCCTACCCCCAGGCCCTCACTGTCCATATTCCTCCCTCACTGTAGAACTCAGTGGGCAGTGGGTAGAGGGGTGCTACTCCTCTAGATAAAGTATTTGGTATTATTGCCTAGGACTGGGTTAGGGTTTGACTTTTCTCTCTTTTTTCCACAGGATTGGCCTCTGGGCAGCTATACTCCTACCCTGCCCGGCGCTGGCGGAAAAAGCGGCGATCCCACCCTCCTGAGGATCCAAGACTTTCTTTCCCGTCTATTAAACCAGGTAAAGCACACCCCTCCTTGATCAGGGGTATGGCCTGCTGCATGTAAGGCCTGTTAATCACCTGTTAGGTACCAGGCCCAATGCTAGATCCTGAAGATGCTAAAATGAATGAGATGCCATTCCTTCCTTTAAAGAGCTCAGTCTAATAGAGGAGACAGGTAAACAGATAAGTTACGGTGCCAAGTAAACTGGGGTGTCTTGGTTCCTGGGCAGCCAGGGATCAAAAGACAGTGACTGGCCCATAGCTGGCCTAGCACTGTGTAGACCCAGAGCGGTCTGCTTTCAGCCCTTCTGAGCCTCGCCTCATCCTGACCTTGCCTGCAGACACAGACCAGACCCTGAAGAAAGAGGGGCTGATCTCTCAAGACGGCAGTAGTTTAGAGGCTCTATTGCGCACCGACCCCCTGGAGAAGCGAGGTGCCCCAGATCCCCGAGTGGATGATGACAGCCTGGGCGAGTTTCCTGTGACCAACAGTCGAGCACGGAAGGTATCAGATGAACACTGTGGCTAAGGGAGCTTTGATGGAAACCAGCCTCCTCTTTATCAGAGGCCACCCAGTAATCAGAATGGAAGCAGAAGCTTTGGGCCAGGAGGCAGGCCCCTGGGGTTCTGTTCGTGCTCATTCCCTAATTAGCACTGAGTACTCACTGGCTTTGCTCTTAGCATCCAGTTGTTCCTGTTCCTTTCCTTCTAAGTGCAGACTCTCCCTCATTCATCTTCTTTTGTCATAGATGTTTTTTGGTGCCTGGGGTTACATGGGTGAAGCAGACCTGGTCCCTACCATAGAGGGAAGATAAAACTATACACAGAAATAATAAGAGCTAAAAAAATATGGCAGGCACTGGGCTAAGTACTTTTCCATCATTTTCTCTAAGTCTCTAAACCATACGAAGTAGGTACCGTGGCCCCTGTTTCACATATGGGGAAGCTGAAGCAGAGAAGTTAGAAAAATAAACTTCCCATAAGCCCACACAAGTAAGCAACAAAACTCTTTTTTTTTTTTTTTTTGAGAGAGAGAGAGAGAGAGGGCACAAGCAAGCAGGGGGAGTGGGAGAGGGAGAAGCAGACTCCCCGCAGAGCAGGGAGCCCGATGTGGGGCTCGATCCCAGGACTCCAGGATCATGACCTGAGCCAGAAGCAGGCACTTAACTAACTGAGCCACCTAGGTGTCACACAGAGCTCTCATTTAAATCCAAGAAGTGGCTAAGTTGGCACAGCATGCTACTCTTGATCTCGGGTTTGTGAGTTCAAGTCCCACACTGGGTGTGGAGATTACTAAAAAAAAAATAAATAGACTTTAAAGAGTAATCTAAGAAATGAGTTGAAAGAAGGGAACCACTTGTAGTGTGTTCCTAGGGCAGCAGATGAGAGGCAGGAGAGGGCATGGCTACTTGGCGTACCAGGGAAGACTTTGTGAAAACATGGCATTTGAGTCGGCCCCTTGGAGATGGTGGGGAAGGCAGTCCAGGAGAGCAACGGAAGAGAGGCACAAAGGAAGGAAAACCCAAAGCATTGAAGGGAGAAGCAATGGGATTCTAGGGTGTTGAAGGGCAGCAATGAGGAGTGAGGCCAGAGTGGAGGGGCCATCTCACGGAGGAGGTTCTGGGTGGCCTGGCCAGGCCCATCGTGGGGGAGCTTTTGGGCGTACGTTGTATCTGCCCAGCGTAACCCTCCTGTCCACTCAGCGGATCCTAGAACCAGATGACTTCCTCGATGACCTGGATGACGAGGACTATGAAGAGGACACTCCCAAGCGTCGGGGCAAGGGGAAATCCAAGGTGAGGAGGCAAGGCGCTGCCTACGGGGGAGCCTACAGAGCCCCCTGCGCTGTTGCTTGTTGCCATTTTTCCTCTCGAGTGAAATTAGCAGCCACTTCCCGGAGAGTTTACTCCTCAGACCTAGACATCTTAATAAGGGCATCTTTTTGTTTTTTTGGCAGGGTAAAGGTGTGGGCAGTGCCCGTAAGAAGCTTGACGCTTCCATCCTGGAGGATCGGGACAAGCCCTATGCCTGTGACAGTGAGTGCCTCACAAGTGGGTGGGTAGTCCCTGCCTTGGACCCAGCCCCTGCTCAGGATCTGAGAGGAGGGAGGGTTGTGTTCTTGCTCAGAGTGGTAACAAAAGGCCTGAATGCTTTCTCCTGCCTGCTCACTGGTTCCCTCTGAGACCCTTGGGAGGCCCCAGCCTCTGCTACCCAAAGGGTGGGACCTGCATGCTCTGGGAGAGGTTTCTGCTGTCCCCTGGGGTGGGGTGCTGGGGCCAGGGGCACACACAGCAGGCAGAATCGGCCCCTTGATAGACCGCATCCAGGTCTGCTGGCCCCAGTCAAGCCAGGGCCCCCAGAGTCCAGCACCGAGTTTTTCAATGTCTGCTCTCCCCCTTTTCTCTGACTCGCCCCACTTCTGTCCCTCCACCCTGGGAGCACCATCGCCGCTGGTTTCTCTCTCGTTTGCTCCGCTTTCCTGCTGCTGCCGCTCCTGTCTCAAGTGTATCAAGGCCTTCTTCTCATGACTTTTCTTTCTGTCTTTCAGATAGTTTCAAACAAAAGCATACCTCGAAAGCGCCCCAGAGAGGTAGCTCTCTCAACTTTTCAGACTTTGGTTTTCCTATCCCTTTTCCCTCCTCCCTTGTTTCTCCCACCTTTCTCATTTCCTGTGATGCTAGTATAAAAATCTCTGGAATGGCATGGGGATAGGAGCAATGGGCTTTCTGTTGTACTCCACTCCTCACAGTCCTGGAAGCTGCCTTTACCACCGCTTGTCTCCCACAGACTTGCTCCTAGGGCTGCTCGGCCCCGCTGCATGGGGTGGCTTCAAAAGCATTCGAAGGAACCCGCTACAGACAGATCCCTCTGCTTCCCCTTCCCCAGAACAGACACTCGGTGGTCAGCTAATGTTTCTCACCATCCCGCCACCTCCTCCCATCCTTCCCCCATTCCTTCCTGCTGGCCGCCTTGCTCTTCTCAGTATCACTGCTTAAGAGTACAAGATGCCTCGTGGGGATCTGCATTCCTTGCTAGTTGGCGGGGGTTGAGCAGGGTACTGATGTGGGAGTGTCTTCAAATTGCCTTGGGGGCCAGAGACCCCAACAGACTTATTGATAGGTGATCCCCCAAGTGATCCACTCCCTACTCCTTTATCCTCATTGGGCAGAGATGAGCTCTGTGGTATACATGGAATAGCTTGAGCTTCCCACGTTGACTGAGAGGTAAAAAAGTTTGGAGTCTCTTCCTTACCTTTTTTTCCTTCCTGCCATATTAATAAGATTTTAGAAAGTCCCCTCCCTTCCTGACCTGGAGCTCCCCAGACTATTCCCAGGGCAAGTGGTAACCGGGCCAGGGTTCGGCCTCCCAACACAGCCCGTGTGGGAGAGCAGAGGTGGCCAGGGGCTGGGGTTTAACAGAGGCAAGAGCCACGGAAACTGGAGAGCCCCAGGGCCTGATGCTCCTCGCCGAGGGGAGGGCAGGTGGCCGGCACTGAAGGCCTGTTGCAGACAGAGCCGATGGGGGCAGGGGTGGTCGCTACGGCGGAGCCCCGTAGCTGGAGGGGGCGGCGGGGATGTGGCACCTTTCCTAACGCCTCGGGTCCCGACACCTCGGGCGCTCACACCTCCGGTCCTAACGCCTTTTTCTGTCATCTTCTTCCCACTCAGTTTGTGGAAAACGTTACAAGAACCGACCGGGCCTCAGTTACCACTATGCCCACTCCCACTTGGCTGAGGAGGAGGGTGAGGACAAGGAAGACTCGCAGCCGCCCACCCCGGTTTCCCAGAGGTCGGAGGAGCAGAAATGTAAGCTGACGCGTCGGAGGCGGGGCGAGGGGGAGTCAGGCTGCTCAAGGCGCGCCCTCCCCGCGGGGCCGCTGGGTGCCTGCAGGCCCCCGTGAGCCTCGTCGGAGCTTTCTTCCTCTCCATAGCCAAGAAGGGTCCCGACGGACTGGCCCTGCCCAACAATTACTGTGACTTCTGCCTGGGGGACTCCAAGATCAACAAGAAGACGGGGCAGCCCGAGGAGCTGGTGTCCTGCTCTGACTGTGGCCGCTCAGGTACCTCCAGCCTCAGGGCCCAGAGCCCCCCCCAGTAGGAGTCCCCCGCCGCCTGTGTGACACCCCCTCCCCCGCCCGCAGGGCACCCATCTTGCCTGCAGTTCACCCCAGTGATGATGGCGGCCGTGAAGACCTACCGCTGGCAGTGCATCGAGTGCAAGTGCTGCAACATCTGTGGCACCTCCGAGAACGATGTGCGTGTCCCTGCGCCGCCCCCCCCCCCCCCGCCCCCTGCCGCCACCCCCGGCCCGCAGCTGCCTCCCAGAGGGGAGCCAGACCCTCCCCCGCGCCCCCGGGGGCACTGGCCTGGCAGGTGTCTCCGGAGCACCAGCTCGGCGTCAGACGCCGTTTCGGGCACTCAGGGCGCCAGACCAGACGAGCGGGGGTCCCTCCCTTGGCGGACTGCCCTGCGGGGAACAAGCAGCGAGCAAGGAAAGGCGCGCCAGGAGGAGAAGGACAGCAGCGGTGTGGCAGGGTCGCCGGATACCTGACGTAGATAGAGCTGGCTTCTCCGAGGAGGTGGTGCTTGGGGTCGAGATTCGGATGACGCGGAGGAGCCAGGCCAAGAGGGTTTGCGGGCACAGCCTGCCCGGGAGAGGAGCAACGAGGGCAGGGGCCTTCAGGCAGACAAGCCGGCCGGGGCCTCCCTGCAGCAGGAGCACAGCACAAGAAGGGGTTGGAAGGCAGGCGTCGCCAGGTCTGAGGGTTTAATTGGGAGTGACGTGCTCTGTCTTAACATTTTTAAAAGAGAAGTTTGCTCTGTGAAGAATAGAACGTAGGGGGCAAGGGTGGAGGCTGTGAGCCGTGTTTGGAAGCTGTTGGGGTTCAGGTGGAATGACAGTGACTCACTTGGTCCAGGTGGAGAAGTTCCTCCAGAAATTCCTGAGTCTGCTCTTGCCTGCCACCTGCCCCGCCCCTCTTGGAAAGAGTAGCAGTGTCTACAGAAGCTCCCATCCCTGCCCTCCCCCAATGGGCTGCCTGAGGCCCACTGGTCGCTCACCTGCCCCTTCCTCTTCCATCTTGCCTTCTCTAGGACCAGCTGCTCTTCTGTGACGACTGTGACCGTGGCTACCATATGTACTGTCTCACCCCGTCCATGTCTGAGCCTCCTGAAGGTAGGTTGCCCTGGTCTCTTACACAGAACAAGTATCATATTAGTAACTTGGAAAATCACTTGTACAGTAAGTTCTCTTAAGTGTTCTTCCAAATTAGGGCATAGACACTTTGCCTTCACTCAGAAATGCTTTCCTAGTATTTCAGCTTGGAGGGTTTAACATTTGCACATTAGGTACATTTAGAAATGCAGAAAATCAACAGCCAAAGAGAAAACTGGTGCTGAGCGGAAAACAGTTACCAAGGAGTGGTTTGCTTTCCTCCAGCCAGTCCAGGAAACTCAGTTTGTAGTTTGTCTGATGTCAGGCTTTGGTATCAGCTCTTTGAATGTGACCGGTTTGAGTGTCCGTTTCATCCCTCTTCCCTTGCCCAGCCTGGAAACGTATGGAACCTGGAGCCTGAATGGGTCAGTCTGCCCCTCCAGTAGTGTGCTTAATAATGCTCCCAAGTTTGCAGAAGTTCTTCAGCCAAACCAGTGGTGGCACCAGAAAGTGGCTGTCTCTCTGCCCGTCCCCCTCCAGCCAGGTCTCTGTGCCCAAACCCCTTCTTTACGGAAATTCAGGAGCTTACTCAGGAGAATGTGAATGCCCAGTGGCTTTTCCTGTACACAAAGGATGTGGGCCAGCATTACAGACAAGAGAAAGTGCCTCACTGTGGGGTTAGGCTGACTTGTAATATAGGTCACACTGCTGTGTCGTCGTCGTCCCCCACCCGGGAAGGAGCCACGAGCAAAGTCTGAGAGTCCTTTGGAAGCTGCAGGCGAGCACACAGCTATTGTTATCTGTCATGCCCAGTTTATAAATCTACTCTGGGGAGAAGTAGTGTGTTCTGTTTTTTCTCTCTCTTTTTTTTAACCCTAAAATACCAATTTGCAGACAAAATTCTACGTGAACTGTAGAAGGGCCTTCCTATTGAAGTACTGTCAGAGGCTGAGGTAGTGAAGAGCTGCAGGCAGCTGAGGGAGAATCCTCTAGAAGCCATGTGATGGTCTAGGCTCTTAAGTCAAGGGGTCAGCAAACTACAGCTCATAAGCCAGATCCAACCGCAGCTAGTGTGTATAGCTCATAAGCTAAGAATGGTTTTTACATTTTTAAAGGAGATTTAAAAAAAGAACACGGGACCAAGACTGTATGTGGCTCACAAAGCCTGAAATATTTAACATTCTGGCTGGCTGTTTACAGAGAAGCCTGCCAGCCCCTGGGGTATTGACCTTTGGGTTAGAAAGGACCTTCTTACATTTTGAGAGTCCTGTGTCTCTGAAGAGCTTTTAAGAGGGGTGGATTCTTTCCCCCATACACGTCTACATACACAGATGTACAGTTACACTTAAAATTTTGAGGCATTGAGGGTTAATTTTGTTTCTTAAGAAAAAGAAACACAGAAGAATGCAACCATAATAAGTATTAATAAGCAAAGTATGAAACACTTATTTTTCTGGCAAGGGACATTTTCCCCAGTTATTCTAAAAATAGATCATAACATACTGGGATGTCAGAATTTACCCCCTTTTCCTGTCACTGGTCCTCAGCCTCTTCTCAAATACCTAGTGATGGTGGAGAGCCCATCTCATCTTTCCATGGTTTTCCCAGAAAGCTATCTTATGTGGAGTCAAAACTGGTTTCTCTAGAACCACTATTCATGATCTTCATGCTGACCTTTGGGGCCGTGAGAACAAAGTCTGGTTCTTCTATAATCACAAGTCTAAAGCTGAGGTGCTTTAAAAAGTTCTATCTGCCCAGGCCCTCCTAGAGATTCTGATTTAAGAGGGTCTAGGAGTCTGTGTTTGGAAGTAGGCCTCCAGGTGATTCTTTCTTTCGTCACCACTGAGGATTATTTTTCATGACATTTGAAGCCCTAAAGGTTTCTTCTAGCTCAGGATAACCGTGAAACTTGGCTACTGCAGAACGTCTCCCAGCTTTCCTGTAGCTGATCCTGCTACGGGAAGCAAGGTGTGGGGAGTGGAAGGGCAGCACGGTAGGGTGGTGCGGGATCCGTCCTGACCCCTCTCTGCTTCTCTGCAGGAAGTTGGAGCTGCCACTTGTGTCTGGACCTGTTGAAGGAGAAAGCTTCCATCTACCAGAACCAGAACTCCTCTTGATGTGCCCCCCACCCTCGCTCCCCCCATACATCTAGGGCTGTTTCTCTCTTCCTCTCTTGTTTTTCATACCCACCTTTCCCCTCCTCTTCTCTCATAAGTCCAGACAACCGCGGGTGGTCGTGCCGATCCGCCTTTGGCAGCACCAAGCAGAGGTGGCAGCTCTGACCGCCTCTGGCCTAGGCCCTCAGGGAGAATGGAGCAGCACACTGCCCCAAGGCATACCTGTGACCCAGCTTCTCACTGCTCTCCGTGAAGTGCATTCACTCTGCCTGCCTTGGGCCCCGGCCCTGGCGATCACAGGGTTCGAACAGTGTCCTCCGAGAAAGAGTGGGAGAGCAGCTCACTTTTCTCTTAGCTCTGCCTCCACTCTGGTCCCCAGGGTTTTCCCTTCCCTTGGAGGCGAGCCAGACCAGGGCCTCTCTGCCAGGAGCAGCTGGGCGTGAGCAACTGAGCAAGCTGAGGCAGCGCTTGCAAGGAGCTTTCCAGGCCCTTTGTGCCGCTTAGCCTCGCTGCCTCCTTCCTCCAGAGCGGCTGTCCGCAGCCCTCTCTTCCTGCTACCCAGGATCCTTTGCCCGAGCCAGGATGCTCTTGGTCACTCTCCTTACTCTGCCCTGACCCACTTCACCCCACCCCACCCCAGGGGGAGTCGCAGCTTCACCTGATTCTTCCTTGTGCTCACCTGGCTCGCTCACAGGTGGTCTCTTAATGACCGAAGCATTCCCCGTCCTTGAAATTTCCTATCTTCTGCCTCCCCTCCTTATTCCCTTTGGTTTTGTGGGGAGAGGGGAAGAATCGGGGCCAGGCCAGCAGCTTGGGGGCCACAGGGAGACATTGGATAATGTGCCTGTTTTTTAACTCGATGAAAAAAGCCTACCTCCGAAATCCCCTTTTTGTTCTTCCTGGACCTGGACATTCAGCTCCTGCCCTTGACTGAATTGGGGGCCTCTGCCTCCTGCTCGGTGTATCCTGGCCCCTGGGTCACAGGGAAGCCACATAGACATCCCTTTCTTCCCTTGCACGCTCGCTAGCAGCTGGTAAGGTCTTCACACCCTGATTCCTCAGTTTTCTGTCTGGTGACACTGACATGAAGTAGTGGGGGGAGATAGTCCATACCAGGACCCCCTGGAGTGGCCTTCCCCTTGGCTGTGGGCAGGTCCTAATTCACTGTCGCTTTGGAGTTGAGGTGTCTTTCTTTCTTTAGTTCCTGTATTCTAAACATTAGTACAAATAAACGTTTTTACACAGAATTCCCTGCTGGGTCGTTTATCTCCTGACTGCCTTTCCTGATTGAGAAAGTCATTTCATCCTAAAACTGAAGGGCAGTGTTTTGTTTTTTTTTTTTTTTAAAGATTGTATTTATTTGAGAGAGAGCATGAGAGGGGGGAGGATCAGAGGGAGAAGCAGACTCCCCGCAGAGCAGGGAGCCCGATGTGGGACTCGATCCTGGGACTCCAGGATCATGACCCAAGCCGAAGGCAGTCGCTTAACCAACTGAGCCAGCCAGGCGCCCCTAGGGCAGTGGTTTTTAAGTGTTTTGAAATACAACTTTTAATCCCAAATGAAAATTTTTGCTGAAGTCCAATATGTAAAGCAGATATAAAATTGAGAACTTTGTTCCGATTTCTTTTCCTGTTTTTAAGATTTTTTTATTTGAGAGAGCATGAGTGGGGGTTGGAGGAGAGGGAGGGGGAAAGAATCTCAAGCGGACGCCACACTTAGCGCAGAGCCGGACTCGGGGCTTGATCCTATGACCCTGAGATCATGACCTGAGCCAAAATCAAGAGTCTGAGCCTCAACCGACTGAGCCACCCAGGTGTCCCTATTCTAATTTCTTCATGTAAGTTCATGTTCTAACAATTCCTTGTTACAAAAGAGAAGTTGTTTTGATTAATACAAAACTTGAGTTAAAATCAACTTTAGTATCCTGTTCCTATATTTTGGTTGGTTTGAAGGTAATTCTGCTAGACTTGTATGTGCAAGTGGTGACAGTTTTCTAATGGTTGATCTTGGGATTTCAGAAGGTTAGTTATTATATAAATACAAAAGAATGACAGGAGAAAGTATCACGGTGGGACATGTGAAAGCTTTGTTCATGAGGAGCATAGAGGCACCTCGACCTTGCTTGCCTGGCATTCCTTCCCTTACCTACCATGTGCATAAACTCCACCTGCACGGCCACCTTCCTCAGGGAATGTTTATGTGCACAAGAAATGACTCCTTTCTTTGGAGCCAACATTTTGTTGTTGACAGCTTCCGTAATGGATCTTCTCTATCTCACTTGAAAGTGTGTTTTGTAGTTCTTAAACTTTGCAAGATTTCAATTATGAACCCCCTGAGGTATCCTTAGGGTTTTTTGAAACAGTCTGAAAACCACTGTTAGCCACTGAAAGACGGTGGCCTTGGCGATTGCATTCAATAAATAAGCAGGGTGCTCTGAGCTGGGTATTTTGTTAGTAACAGAGCATATCCCCTGTCCTCAGGCTTTTACGTGGAAGTAGGCCAGAAGCAGAGGGAGTAAAGCAAAGATCCTTGGTGGCTGAGTAGTCTAGGAGTCAGAAGAAAAAGAAATGTAAAAAAAGTAAAAGATGCTGGGGTGCCTGGGTGGCTCAGATGATTAAGTGTCTGCCTTTGGCCTAGGTCATGATCCCAGGGTCCTGGGATTGAGCCCCGCGTCGGGCTCCTGACTCAGCGGGAAGCCTGCTTCTCCCTCTCCCTCTGCCTCTCTCCCTGCCCTTGTTCTCTCTCTCTCTCTCTCTCCCTCTGTGTCTCTTTGTCTCAAATGAATAAATAAAATCTTTAAAAAATAAAAGATGCCGTAGTAGGCATAAGTGAGAAGAACTTTGGAAAGGGTTTGCAGGAGTTGGGGTTTAGGATGGGACATAGAAGGATGGAAGAAGGACCAGCCATAGATTGGGTTGGGGAGGAAAGCCTGTGAGAAAGGCAGAGAGATGGTGACTCATCTGTGGCCCTGGGCTTCCCATCAGAGCTGGGAGTTGGGGAGGAAAAGCAGGCTGAAGTTCAGGAAGGGGAGCACTCGACCGCAGGTTAAGATACCTACATTCAGGGGCGCCTGGGTGGTTCAGGCGTTAAGCGTCTGCCTTCGGCTCAGGTCACGATCCCAGCATCCTGGGATCGAGCCCCACATCGGGCTCCCTGCTTCGCGGGAGGCCTGCTTCTCCCTCTCCCATTCCTCCTGCTTGTGTTCCCTCTCTCGCTGTGTCTCTCTGTCAAATAAAATCTTTAAAAAAAAAAAAAAAAGGTGCCTACATTCAGTTGCTAAGAACAGGCAGGACTAAAGGTTACTAAGGAAGGGACTGGTATTAGATCTTGAGTTTAGAAACTTGAATTGTGGGGTGCCTGGGTGGCTCAGTTGGTTAAGCATCAGACTCTTAATTTCGGCTCAGGTCATGATCTCAGGGTTGTGAGATCCAGCCCCACATGGAGCCTGAAGTCGGCTCTGCACTGGCCATGGAGCCTGCTTAAGATTCTCTCTCTGTCGCTCCCTCAACCCTGTCTCTCTCTCTCCCTCTCTTAAAAAAAGGGGGGGGGGCGCCTGGGTGGCTCAGTCGATTGAGCAGCTGCCTTCGGCTCAGGCCATGATCCCAGGGTCCTGGGATCGAGCTCAGCATCGGGCTCCTTGCTCAGCGGAGGGCCTGCTTCTCCCTCTGCTTCTGCCTGCCTGCCACTCCCCCTGCTTGTGCTGTCTCTCACCATCTCTGTCTCTGTGTCAAATAAATAAGATCTTTAAAAAAAGAAAAAGAAACTTGAATCTTGCCACCAGTTACCAAAACTAATAAACATTAGTCCTTATTCGCCCTAAATCAGAACGGGCCATGGGGCACCGGGCTGGCTCAGTCAGTAGAGCATGCCGCTCCTGATCTTGAGGTCGTGAGTTGGAGCTCCTCACTGGGCATGGAGCCTACTTAAAGCAAGCAAACAAAACGAAACAAAAAACCGGGCGCCAGGCAGGTAGTTGTCCCTTATCCCTAACTGGACAGATCTACCTGAGGCCAGCGCTGTCCATGGTAACAGCTTTTGTGTGGCTTAAAGCTTTCATTCGTCCATGTTCCTCACAACCACTCCGTGAGCGGTATTAGCCCTGTTTGGTAGATGAAAAAGCTGCGACTGCTCAGGTCACGGCCAAGAAGGCCTTAAGAAGCCCGGGCTGTTCTCCGGCCCCCGCGCTGCCCCGAGGCTCCTCAGGCCCCAACTGCTGGCGGCGCCTTCGGGACTCCCCGCGGGGTCTTGGCTCCGCCTCACCGCCCGTCTCGCTGGAAGCACCGCCCCCAGGAGGGCGCCACCACTTCTGCGGCGTCCAATGAGACTTAGCTGGGGGCGGGACGGGACGTCATTGAGGGCCAATCTGATGGGGCCTGGGCGGGGCTGCGGCGGGTGGGAGCCGAGCGGCCGCACCGCGGTCTTCCCAGCCGGGAGAGAGCCCGGCGCGGGCGGCGCGCACGGGCCCCTGCTGTGCGCGCGCCCGCCGCCCGCCACCCGCCGCCTGCGGAGCCCCTCGGCCCACTCCGCCCTCCGGGTCGTGGCGCCCGTCCCTCCTCTGCTCTCTCGTCGCCGCCCGGACAGGGGCTCCGAGCCGAGCCGGGGCAGGGGCGGGAGCCGCGGGACGAGCGCCTGAGGTGGGTGCGGAGCGGGAGGCCGGGAGGCGGGGAGGCCGGGCGGGCGGGCGCCTGGGCACAACCCCGCCGACGGACCCCGCGTCGAGGTGGGGAGAGGCCGGCCAGGTTGTGGAGCTCGGCTTCCGGCCTGCCTCGGTCCCAGGCGCTCGTGCCCGCGCTCTAGTACCCCTCCCAGGCTACCTCCCTCCCCTCTGGGGACACCCCGTCCCTCTTGCTGCCCGCGGCCTCCTCACCCCTCTTGCTGTTTGTCGCCTGTGCACCTGCCATCTCGGCCCCGTGCTCCCACTCCCTCTCCCTCGCCAGGCCGGACCCCCGCCCAGTCTTACCTCCTCAGGACCCAGCACCAAATTAGCCTCGCTCCTTCTGCCCCCATCTGTCCCTCTTTGTCGTCTGTATACTTGTCACCTCAACTCAGCTCATCCACTCGCCACCCCCCCCCCAACCTCATCCAAACCCAGCCCAGGCCATCGTCCCCCGCCCCCTCCCCGGGCCCCCCCCCGATTATCTCCTACACCTGCCCCACTCAGTCCCAGTCCCCTGTCCTCCCCCATCCATACTCCTTTGTTGTCTCTGCAGCTGTCCCCCTGGCTTTATTCCTCCTTCTCCCCCCCAACCCCAGGCCAGACTCCTTCTCCCTCTGACCAGTGAGCCACCCCCTCCCCAGCTCTGCTGGGGCATTCCTCCTGGTCCGGGCCCAGCCCACTGCTCCCTCCACCTAGCCATTCCCTTCCTTCCAGCCCAGCCCTCTGAACACCACCCCAGTGCACCCTCTCACCCTCTCCCAGCTGGCCCAGTCTTCCCTGGTCTCTCCCACACACCAGCCTCTTTCCCTGTCCTCATACATCCTCGTTCCCTGCCTGTGATCCTTTCCCGTCCTCCCGGCCTTGGCCATCTGGACCCCCCCCCCCCCCTTTTCCCCCGGGGCGGGGGGAGGCCATGGAGCTGAGCAGCAAGAAGAAACTTCACGCCCTGTCCCTGGCCGAGAAGATCCAGGTGCTGGAACTCCTGGACGAGTCCAAGATGTCCCAGTCGGAGGTGGCCCGGCGCTTCCAAGTCTCCCAGCCCCAGATCTCGCGCATCTGCAAGAATAAGGAGAAGCTGCTGGCGGACTGGTGCAGCGGCACCGCCAACCGGGAGCGCAAGCGCAAGCGGGAGTCCAAGTACAGCGGGATTGACGAGGCCCTGCTCTGCTGGTACCACATTGCCCGGGCCAAGGCCTGGGACGTCACGGGGCCCATGCTGCTCCACAAAGCCAAGGAACTGGCCGACATCATGGGCCAGGATTTTGTACCCAGCATCGGCTGGCTGGTCCGCTGGAAGCGCCGTAATAATGTAGGCTTCGGGGCCCGCCATGTACTGGCCGCCCCCTTCCCCCCTGAGCCACCTCCCCCGGGCCCCACGTCCCGGGCCCAGCCTCCTCTTTCTCTTGAAGACTTCTCCCCAGAGGACGTTTTCGGCTGTGCCGAAGTGCCTCTGCTGTACCGGGCCGTGCCCGGCAGGGGGGGTGCCTGTGATCGCGTGCGGGTGCTGCTGTGTGCCAACAGCAGAGGCACAGAGAAGCGGCGGGTGCTGGTCAGCGGGCTCCGGGCCGCGCCCAGGTGCTTCTTCGGAGT